CAACATTATACTGTTTTTACACGTTTAGATTTTTTTTTATTTTCACCATTTTTATGTAAAGTAAATTTGGATTAGAATTTCACATGATCATTGCCAATCACCACCTCTTTCCAGCACCCAAACCTGAATGTTAAAAAATTACCTTCTGGGGAATTTTAAATGAAGCAAAATATCCTGTTCCTACCCAGTGGTACTCAAAGTACTCCTTATTAGACCTGATACGCATGGTCAGAGCCTCCTGTGCCTTGGGTTGGCAGCAGCCTCTCCGGGGCACCTCACTGAGAGTACAGTGACCTACTATCAGTGGCAGCAAAGACACCAAGATCTCGCTTCTATCAGTGGATTTTACCTTTCAGCTGCCCACCTCACTTTATGCAACCTGCAAGAGCTGTATAAGATCTTACTTGGCAAACCTGTCTCAAGGTCCAATACCCTTTGTGTAGCCAGATGGAATGTCCATTCTCCAGGACCTTGGGTCTGATGAGGTGTTTCAGCTAACAGAGAGCTGACGTCTCGTTTGAGTGGTGTCCTGCACACCCACAGGCCCAGGAAAGCTGTAGCTGATAAGAGCAGTACAAAATACAGTGTACAAAATAACAGCATCCATGATAGAAAACTACAAAGAAAACAGTTGTGAGGATACATACATGAACAGAGATTTTTACAGTCCAATAAGCCAATAAGAGAACATCACAGAAATATATTAAAAAGGGTAGCATGGAAACAGGTAAGATGTGCTTTGCTGTTTTAAATTAAATGATCATCAAAATCAATTATATAAAAGAATAAAGTTAAAGAAACATATTTTTTTTCCAAATAGCAAACACGAAAGAAAGGGAGAGAGTCTCTTCATTCTCCTGGGTACCCACAACTCTGTTTGTTTTAGGAGCAGGGAAGAAATCTTCAGACTGAAAAGACAGCCTTGTTTAACTCTGGACCTCAGTTTAAACTGCAAACCAAGCTAAACAGCAAAGAATGAACACATTAAATTTTTCTTCTCTGCTTTTACAAAGGGGTGGAAAGGAGAGTCAGAAAAGAGGAACATGGTGGTGACTGGAGATCCTGTCAGGTAACCCCAGAGCTGCTTACTGTCCAACAGGAAAACCTGTAACCACTGCATATCACCCACTTCAGTCTTGTCTGCTCCAACTGGACATTTTTTTTGTCTCTGGAAAACCTGTGACCAGAGGACAGTGCCAATGTCACCATCTCTGTGACACACTTCTCTGGCTGGTGGCCTTGAAGTTGTGGAATTGTCCTGGTGACAGTGGAAATAACCATTAAGAAGAAATCTTAAAAAGCAGTGATAGAAGGAAAGCAAATACTGAGAATTATTAAGGTGTTTTTTCCCTATAACATTTCTACATTCAACCAGTATCAAAACAGCCAGAGAGAAAACCCGTACTTTATCTTCTAAGCCACATTTTTCAGTAATTTTGGACAGGTGAGCTTGACTGAGAACTCACAAAAATTTGACTGCCTTCTGCCAACTGTGGTGGGCATGGATACCTATGTCCTTCTTTTAAGTCCCAGCTCTGAGCTACAATGATACTCTAAGGAAAAAAGAAGAGATACTGAACAGTTAAGCACTTCCACCACAGCCTTCCAGCCCTGTTGAACAGGCAGAGAGGAATAAAGGGTCCACCAAAACCAACCTTCAAGAGTTGCTGTTGAAGAGTCCATATCCAGTGAGGCAACACTGCTTCTCTACTGGAGGAGACCCAGAGTTAGATGTTATTCCGTTAACAGACACCAGTTTCTTAGGCTGGTTTACAGAGAGAATTGCACTCTTGAGAAGTTCACCAAGCTGATACATCTACTCCTCTCATTGGTGATAAGGAGAAACCACCGAGTCGGAGTTTCTGGGAGTTTGTCTCGTACCTTGGGTAGAAGTGGAAAGTTCAGCCAAGACCTTTATGTTCCATCTAAAAAAAGCTCTTTGTATGCTTTTACTTGTGTCTCTTTGTTTTAAAGAGAAGACCAAGAAGCAGCAGGGCCAGCACTGGTTGCCACAGCAGGAACAAAAAACATTGGTGAGAGCTTCTGTCTCCAGGTCTTGTTTCCGTGTGGGTTCTCTGATGTTTAATGAGAGCTGAACTTGTATTACAGCCTTTTCCTTGGAAGAGATTAACTAGGTCTTTTTTTTTCAACACTTCTGCCTATTTCAACAAAATGCATAGCTTCCTGTTATCTGGTAAGACATCATCAAACCTTGACCTTCTGTTACACTTGATCATACTGGCTACTAATTAAAGTATTAGAGAGAGAGAGCAGGTAGGACACACAACGACTGCAGAGAAAATCTATTTCCACTATTTTTCCAATTCCTCTTCCCATAGATATGTAGGAGGCTTGCAGTCAGAAACACCAACATCAGGTAAAGGGATACTGTGAAAAGAGGGGGCTCTCTCCCTTTGTTGCCTCAACAAATCGTTCCCTACAGCAAGAGACAGCCTCTGACCATATGACCTCGCAGCTGTTTTCAGCTCCTCCCTCCATCCAATTTGCTGCAGCACAACAAAGCATTCCAAAAATAACATTTATCTTTAAAAACTGGAAAATGGCATAAACCACCCCAAAGAAGAGAATGACAACGGCATGAGTTCAGCGCGGGATTGTGAACTGATGCTCCCCGCCAGGGACAGGAAACTGGAACTACTCAGAAAGAGACTGAATGGAACCAGATTGAACGAAAGTGCCAGAAACCGCGGCCATGGATGGCCAAGTCCTGCTGAAAGGATAACTCACCCGCCTGTCAGTCCTTTGACAGAGCAAGGGCAAGGACTGTGTCACGGCTCTACAGCTATACATGCCTGTGCTTTGCAAGGCTGCACGTACAACAGGCTGGAGCGTGCAGATTAAACAAGGAGAAATTTAAAGATGAGGAACACTTCCAAATCATAGCTTTAAAGTTGCGGATCAGCAGAGCTTGAACATCTGATTTCAATTCTAAACGATTTTTGACTAGTGGGTGTTGATGCAGTACCCCAAATACACTTGCAGTTTCTGTTCAAAACGGTATTCTTGAGTAATGATAGAACTGTTATGTATGAACTGCTAAACAGAGGCTACAGCACCACTGCTGAAGGGACTAAAAGTTGGACCAGGTAGAGGAGAAATAAACTCAATCATTTTCATTGAATAGACAGAGCTAGATTTGCCACTTCCTTCCCTTTTGTATAACTGTGTAGATCATGTCTGTGTAAGGGAACTTTTACGAAAATGAAGTTACAAAGGCATAATAAATCCATTTAGAAAAATTTCTTGCCTATGAAGAATTGAAAGTAATTTTAATTTGTAAAGTAATAAAAGCTGAATGCCAAATTGTAATGTCGAAATGAAGACAGGTTTTCAGAAGCAGTAATTTTTGAGGTAATATTTGAAAATGATCAATTCAAATTCTACTTTCGAAAAATTTTCTGAGCTTTTGATCTTGCTCCAAGTTTAGCCCAGAACAACTATTATATGGCTGACATAAGAAGTCTCCAAAAAAAGTGATTTATAATGGAAACAGAGAAAATAAATCACTATTTGAGAACTTTTTAACACACAACAAATTAGATCCAGAAGGTCAGGCAAAGCTGTCACTGAGTTTGTAAGCTTTCCTGCTGCAGCTGAAGACCACAATACACAAAAGAGCAAATTCAGTTAATGAACTTGATCAGATACACACAATGACTGGTGCCTTCCTTGGAGAGGCACTTAAAAACTATGATCTACAAAGATTCTAACATGACCACAGTCGGCAACCTGCGGCAAGTTGAGAAGCAGGGTTCCTCTGGCTGGAGCAAGTAGATGCATTCATCAATGCCCTGCTGAAGAATATGTGACCATATTCGACCACCAAAATGAGAAGGACCATTAACATCCTGAATTAATGGGCTTAGTGGTTTTCAAATGAGGTATTTTCATGATGGACATGGTGTGGATTCAGCAAAGTCTGCCCTTTAACAAATACAGCTTCAGTTTCAAAGATTTGATTAGGCTTAATACCATTAGGGAACCATTACCGATTTTATGCTGTTGTTGTTACTGGTTTAACTATCAATTTCTGAACCAAAAATTGCAGACAGTTGGCTTGACCAAGAGTCAAGGTTTAGGAATGCAAAAGCAAATCCAAGGTACAGATGAGCTTCAGATGCAGACAGGCTTCACAGGGTTTAACAGGCTCTCCAGAGTTTGTCAGGTCACAGAGGTTTTCCTTTTTTTTTTTGTGGGGTGTGCACGTGCCCAGTTGTTTCTTTGCATTTTTTGTTTGTTTTAAATACTTCTGACCTCAGCCAGAGCAAGTGGAATTCATTCAAGCAATTACTGCATGCAATAATTAAAAAAAACTCACGACAATCTTGTTTTATTGTGTACCATATACAAAAAAACAAAACAAATGAAAATTATCTTCTTAATAAGCAATTCTTGATCACCACCACGTGTTTCTCAAACAGCCAGATGTTCACAGTTTAAGAAGCCAAATAATACGACTACTTTTTTGTAAATGTTAATGGTGAAAGAACAATAATAATGGTTTTAGTCAATCATCATTAGTACTTGAAAGTACAAATATAAATTAAATAAGACTCAAAAAACTTGTACAATAAAATCTGCTGTAAACAAAGCTAATTAAAAAGAACTGCTCTCAACCTGTGTTGTGGGTTTCATCTTGTTTTAAAATTAAAAGCAGTATTTGTTTTTCTGAAACATTCAAATGAATGTTCATATCCAGATGTCCTTACAAAGAAACACGGTCTCCATTCTTTTCTCATTTTTTAATCTGTTTATATTATATTTTACTTCTGATTGTCTTTTTCTTCCTTGGCAATCCTCTTTGTCACACCACTGAAATACTTCTCACGGAAAGAATTGTGTCCCCTGTATGGCATATACTGGCCATCCAACAAGTAAGAATTCTCATCTTGATCCTGCACAGTATCAAAATGCAAGCATTAGACTTCAGGATAGTATGTTCAGCAGGTATTGCCACTGGTTTGCTTCTAGCCTTTTTCAAACACTTACAAGTAACGGTAAAGTAGTTAAGTTTTTTTTACAATTCAACAGCACCCATTTAAGACACTAGACTGATTTAAAGAATTTTAAAAAAAGAATGCTAAGGTTTCCATTAGGATTAACAAGAACATATACATTCTACTTCAAAGTCTTAACATTTAACAGAAATGAAATTCCATATGCCATGGATTCTCATTTGACATTAATCAAATACAAGCTGTAAGCAGACAAAGAGATTTTGTTTGTGATGTTAGTTTTTGTTTGTGTTTCTTAATGTACTCATTCAAAGTTCCATTATTCTACTCTGTACAGCAAAATTATGCAAGTTGTCAGTTTTAACAGCACTGCATCACCGAAAATATCTCATCTGGCATCACGAGAATCTTACCCTTACATGAATGAATGAGCACAGGTACTATGCTACACAGACTTTTATAAAGGAAAACATGTATTTTCCAGAAAAAATGCCATCTGGAGAATTCCATCACTCAGAGGTCTCTAAGGCAGGTACAAACAGAAGAGGAACACAGTCAGCTAAAATGAGTTCCTACAGTTATTGAAGCACAATCAGAGAAAATTTTTTTGTGCAGCATTCATATACCTCTGAAAGTTAAGTTGATACAGTATCCCTACACATAATACATATTTGACACCAGCCAACAATATAGTTTAGAAAACTGTCCCACTACAAATACAAAGGTTTAGTTCATTATGTATTATGGCTTTACACAATGAAGATACTTGTCAACTAACATTAGCAATGCTATAAGCTAAACAGTACATCAAACTTTGACTTGAGTGCTAAAGAAAACTGATGGGACTTCTAAAAACAGTGTTATGCTTATTGATGTCACTTCATTATGCTCAATAGCATAATCCCCACAACCTCTAAGAGGTCACACATGTGTACACCATTCATCTTGATTCTGTAAGAAACAAAATGCTGATTCAGGGTGAAGGGAGGAAAGAGGAAAGAAACTTCTCCTTCCTCTATCCCCGAGTTGGTTAAGGCAAAGAGAGGATATACTGTGTAAGAGAACAAACTTCAAGTAAAACACAGGTGTAATAGGAGCATCTGTATTCATCAAATGGAAACAGGCTTGGTGCACCATTCCACAGCAGAATCTATCTTGAAAATCCAAGCCTCATCAAAAGCTCTGCTCGCTAGATGAGAGATCTGCAGCTACGCATGGGTTTATTGGGAGAGATTACAAAGGAAGCTCCTGGCCCACATCACAATAATTCCAGTTTAAGAGGTTTCATTCTCTACCTTTCTCCTGTGCAGGTATGACTGCCTAATAAAGATGGTGACTGCTTAACAAAACCCCAAAAACCAAACAAAAAACCAACCAACCAAAAACAACAACAAAAGAATCAACAGATTGTGAACTGCTCCTCAAAAGAGTGAAAAGAAAATAAAGAAATCCTGAACTACCTGCAGGTACCACTCACTGTTAGCATTTACTAGTCAAAATAGTTTTATGGGCAACATGACAATTGATCAAAGTAAAAAAAATTCTTGGATTTCAGAAACTAATGATTTCCAAATAAATTCTAAATTACAACATTTTGTATCAGGGAGATGAATGGGTACAACTTGAACACCAGGAATGCTTGTCCAAAAAACTCTTCATTAAAGAATTTATTGTGACAATTTGCAATAGAATTTGCCTGGCCATCAAGCAGCAGCTTGTTTCAGTAAGGAAATCAGTCAAACATCCTCAGTTACTCTCTGATTTGAGTAGCATAAATTGTTAGAATATGCAAACTAAATATATGACAGGAACATTTTGCAGTAAGAGATCTCTCTTATGGAAGGTGTCAGGGGTAGTGTCAGGTCTCCCTCAAACGCATTAACTGTCCAGTGCAGTTAACATGGATGTTTTTTAACTTTCTTTTTCTTTTTTTTTTTTTTAAAAAAAAAAAAAAAAAAAAAAAAGCAGCTTAAATTCAGGGAATGGAGTTGAACCATAGGGTTTTAAGGAAGACAGTCTCTTTCCTCCTCTTGACACGCTGGAGGAGAAATAAGCAGTGCTGCTGGTGACACACAGCTGCATCTAGGGATGAGTAACTTTTTTCTCTCATTTCCTTTGAAACAACCATATGTAGTTTTCAAGGCATAAAGTTTGTAATTGGTTATTTAACACAAAACAGTGAGACTTTCCAAGAAATAATTTACAAGACCGATCAGCAATGATCAGCCTACTTGGCACTAAGTCAGCTCTTTCCCTAGTGCGTCAGCACTACCAAGAAGACAAAGACTTCTTCTTTTATTTGTAAAATTCAGAACAGGAGATGTTTGTTAATCTCTGGTCATTCTTTATCATCACCCTTGGTTCTTATTTTGAATAATATAAGTTCTCAAAACAGCAGACTAATTGCAAGCAGCAGTTACCACATAAATGTTGCTCTGAAATGTTTTATGATAAGTTCTGTGACAACTGCAAACCAACAAAGTTCTTGTCAAAAAGCTACCAAATTGCTTTTAGCTACTTTGAGTTTTCAACTCAACACTTATCTCTTGTAAAGACAACACTAAAATAGGTGTTACAGATCTCCAGTAAATAATGACAGAGGTGGAAGAGAGGAGGACGCTTAATGATAACAAGAAAGTTTTGCTTTTCTTGAAATCTTGGTAAATATTAAGTGATATTCTAAAGATTTTTTATAAACCTAGCATGTCTCCGTTTGGCTCCAGGGTAATTACCCACATTCAGTTTTTGTTTAAAGAAAAAAAATTCTTCCTAGCCCTATCATCTCTTCCTACCACTCCACATCTGGTACAGGACAGTAGCTACAGAAACCACTTGTACTAATGTTATACAGCTATAAACAAAAGGGACCAGTTACCAAAACGGGGACAACAGGGTCATATCCAGGAACAGACACTGCTAAATTCAACAGGAAAAATTCTACACCAGTAACAACTCTGGAGTGACCATGTGACATGAAAACTTTGGGGTGAGCACTGTGCTGGGAGGAACAATGGCAAAAGTTGCCTGAAACGGTAATTTAAAAAGAAAAAAAAAAAAGCTTTAAATGTTAATAAACAAACAACTCCTCTGCTCATATCGTGCATATGCTGGAAAAGCCTATTCATATCAACACTGAGTTCAGTAAGAAATCTTTTCCAGTTGGCATGATTTCACTGTAAACTTAAAAAGAACAGACTGGATGCTCACTAGACAGTGAGTTATATACCAGCTTTTGTGAGGTTTTTAATTCAACATATATGATCTTCATGTTAATGATTAGTTACGATAGATCAATACTTCACCTAGACATACTCACTTTTTGCATTCATTTTGGTCTCCTTTTTATTACAATTCAAAAAAAATGCACCATCAATTTCAGTAACTGACTGAATTCATCTTCATTTAAGAGTTTAGAGTGTTAACAGTGAAACCAAATTTGCTGTGAAATCTGCCAATTCCTTACTGGTGGCAAACCCTGGGGAAACCAAAGAACTGCATAATGACACTACATGATTCATAAAACTTCCTAGCCACTTGCAAGTGCTGCACTAAGCTGAATTAAAAGGTAGCTGTGAAGGTCTGTTACAGACCAGTTTAGTAAAACAGACAGGAACTGTCTGGAAACATAAATGTTTGTATATTCATAAAAATTCACTCTTTCATTTAAGAAAACAGCCAAAACACTATCTATTGAATTTTATGATCACATCTGGTGAGTCAGAAAGAAATATTCAATTCAAAGGTTGCTCAGGATATTAAGAAAGGAAAAACCATGTTCCAAGTAAGGGACACTGAGGTGGGGAAATCTTAGACACCAAACAAGACCCTAAACCAGGCAGGCATTGGCTAAGGACTCAATATGCATTTTGTTCTTTAGATAAGTTTTACATCATCAAAAACCATACATGGGTTCTGGTATCTTCAGATTATCTAACAGACATTTGGAGTTCTGAATATAAGCACTTGCACAGTTTTATCTAAACAGTAAGCCTGCCAAATATTCTCAGGTGCTCAGAGCTAAGCATTTCCAGACATGAACCTGTCAAATCACATACTGAAGAACAGGTGATGCATAAAACAAGAATAACAAATGACAAAAGTCTAATCACAGAAGGGTGGATATATTTTTTAGATTAGAACATGTTATCCTACAGCACCGGTATTAATAAAACTCCTGCAGAAAACCTCCCTGAAAACCCTGAGACACACATGTCAAAAATTTTCAGCATCTACCCTCCTAGTTCGCTACTGGTGATGTTGGCAACTCCGACACCGAACTCCAACTACGGTGTTTTTAAAAATTCAGGTGTTGCTTGAGAACTGCACTTATCATGAGCATTAAGAGCACAGTACTGAAACCCTGCTGTGTTATTAGTGCAAGCACCATGCAGACACAGCAGTTTGACTGTATGTCCTGTCATCTGAAACAGCTCTTCCAACTGACAAGGATTGTACTAAAAACACTTTCTCACTGTGTGCATTTTCATTAAGAATTTGCCTCACAGTTGTTTAGCATCTCTTTTAACAGTATCGAGTGAGAGAAGCATCGAGAATGGAAAGGAGACCTGAATGCAGTATTCCCTCCCCCCACTGCCTCAGGAGAGCCACTCAGTGTGTCCCAAAACAAAAAAAGAGTCAGTGTGTTTCACTGTACTTTCACAACTTCAATATTATCTCAAAAACTAAGAGCTTTAAAGATGAAGTAACAGAATCGAATATGGTTTACCTGTACTGAAAGACCCACAAAGCCATTTAGTATATACTCGGGCATCAAGTTACACTTTGAAATCAATGGAAACTTAGGCATCTCAGTGGATGGGATTCACAAGTAACCATAAGTTCAAAGATCTTTTTCACACTATTCAGGGGCTTGCTTGGGATGAAGAGTTTACCAAAAACTGAGAAGAAAAAGGAAAAAACCAAATCTTATATCACTATCCAATTTTCCAGAAGCTCTAAATCTGATAATAAAAACTCAAGTGTGATAGAAATAAGGATCAACTGGTAAACAGCACAAACTTGTCATGAATGCTATAACTACTATTTTACACAATATAAGCAAGAATTCAAGCTTACCTTGAATTCTTTCACCTTTTCCATGGTAATCAGGCGCCTTGATGTGTGGCTGGAAAGCATCTGCTCACAGTTGCTAATAAGTTTCAGGCACGGGTGGCGGGGAATGATTTCTTCTGTATATCTGGAAGAAATTAACATTCATAATGCTGTAAGCTCATGAAGTGGAAGACTTGTATCTGAAACAAAATTCTTACAGACTCTTCACAAAAAGACTTACACTAGAAAGTTGTTATGCACTTTAATCTGATTAAAGAAATTCAGATATCGGTGCTCCAGAGTTTTGACAACATATATTTCAATCATCTTGTGACATATAATGTATAGAATAAATTAAAAGCTCACAGTGAAGAGACATAACCCTCCTCCTTTTTTCATATCTATTTAAATTACATTAATGTATGCACACAGGCCTGCCTGTATAATGTCAAGTAGAAAATATCTCAGCCAACCAGAAATAATAACTTATCCAATGGGAGCTGTGATTTTAAAAACATATTCCAGCCAACATATATGATGTTGCAGGAATAAGAGATTTAACTCCGGCTCCCTAAAAAGAGACCATTATGCTTCAATTTCAAATCTTATTAAGCCAGATGTTAACAGACAGTGACATTCCTGGACTTCAACATTTGGTGTTACAAACCTATCTCATCACAATTATTTTTTCTAATGGCAAGAAAAAAATCCATTATCATTTAACATTAGATAGCAGCAACACTGGCTTACAATTAAATCCTATCTATAGAAGCAAGCAGTTAAAGTGTTTTAAATGCCCCACCTCATATGAATACTATTTTCTGTGGAAAGTGCTTTCTCTAGATTGCTTTCAATCTTTCTATTTCTATTGCTGAAAGAGGAATTTAAAGATTTAAGACCTTTTGTAATGGTTTTGAGTTTAGGCCTTCCTTCCTGGTTGCCAGGAAGGAAGGAAGTATCCCATCCTATTCTTTTACGTAATCCAAACATATAAATAGACAGAGAGAGAAGCCTCTTCCTCTCTTCCCTTACGGCAGGGTTTGGAGACAGCAGATTCCCCACAGCCGGTCTTGCTTCTGTGGGGGAGCTGGGGCCTGGTTGGGCCTACAGGGTCTGTTGTTCCTGCTGATCCGGAGTCCGACAGTGTGGTAGCGGCATCTGGGCGATTGTGTTATCCCAAGGAAAGCAGTAAGATATTCTTTTGCTAATTCTTTAGTTTGCTAGATCCTGAGGGTTTTTTTTGATTATGTATATCTGTTTTGGTTTTTTGTTGGGTTTTTTTTCCCTTCCTCTTCCTTTCCCTTTCGGGACTGTATATAGTATTTCAACTGTATTTAACTGTAATATACGTAAATACATTTATTTTAATATAGTTTGGCTGGTCTGGATTTTTCATAGGTTTTTTTTCTTTGCTCTTTGCCAGAGGTTTTTGTGTTGGGTCTGCGGACTTGGCAGGGAGCCAAGTAAAACTTAGACACCTTTGCATGGGACTAGAACAGCAAGAAGTATTGACCTAGCTAATATAATAAATATGAGATCAGACACCCTTCCCATATACTGAAACATAGATCCGTCACTTAGTCTTAGTTTTTGTAATAAGCTGTCATGTAATAGTTACTTCCACATAACACAGAAAATGGGTTTTGGTATTGTCAGGGACTATGACTTCGTACAAAATGTCTGCTCTCATGATTCTCCAATGCTTGGGAGTCAACAGGAGTCAGACATTAAAATGCAGAACTAAACAACTGAAACACCTATCACTTCAACTTATAAGGTAGGAAAGAGGAGCTTCGCATTTCTCTTGTGAAGAGGTGGATTTTATGAATGCACTTTACAAAGTAAAGGTATTGTTCTGGGAGAAAGAGAAGACAAATGTAACACAACCCAAAATAGGATCCGTCTAGATGCTGATGGAAAACTTGGCATTTCTTAAGATAACAGTGAGCTGTTAAACAAGTAACTCAATACCAAACACAGATTTGTAAATAAGAGAAAAAGAACCCCAAACAGTACTGCCTCTTTGTTTGCCTCAAAACTTCCAGAATGCAAAACAACCTTTCAGTCACTTCTCATGTGGAATCAACTTGCTAATTCCGCTAGCTGATGTCAAAACATGCTTTTGACAAAGGAGAATAAAATTATTTCTCAACTGTTCTTTCTATTATACAAGACTTTCGATGCATCTAGTACCACCAAACTTGCTCTTTCTCCTACAAAGGTAGGTACTCCACCACATCATCTTAAATTTTTATATATACAATAATATATATATAAAATATATGTAATAAAGTTTATACATAAAGTTTATAAATATATAACATTATAAAAGACTGACTGCAAAGGAATTAAAAGAATTCTGACTCAACAATGACTTCAATGTCAGACTGAAAGAGTAAACTTCGGAGTGAGATGCTATCTTGCAGGTGAGATCATTATCAGTTTGTTAAAAAGCCTTGTCTGTTAGCATTAATGCATGTATTTCTACATTCTTTCAGGTAAAACTCAGAACCTCATCAAGTAAGGAATACAGAAGTAGTGGTTTTAACAGACATCCAATTCAATCCAGTTTTGGCTTTAATTTAAGGTAATACACAAGGATCTCAAGAAATTGAAGGCAGGTGTTGCCAAGAGATATTTGATAATGCAATATGTTAGTAGAAAGTATCTTCCCTTCCCCCTACATACTTGTTTTAAAGTCTGTTCCCTTGTTCAGCATTACAACTGAAAATAAACTGACTGTACTAATATTCCGTGCTAATATAGTGACTTCAGTATTTCAATTCACAGTAGGATGTACAAATTAAATTCACTTTTTATGAGGTAACTTAACTAGACCTCCCCAAAACAGCAACCAAAGTAGATCCTGAATGTGCAGTTCCCAAGTTATCTAAAGTGAGGAAACAAGCTTTTTATCAAAGTCCAATGAGCAGACAGAAAAACTCTAGTATCTTGATGAACAGAATAAACCGACTAAATCCAAATAGTTTTTATTGACATTGAAATCTTAGAATTCACAATCACACACAGTCTGTTGGGGCTAGGCATGTATAGACATTTTGAATAACTAGCTATAATACTATTAATGGCATTCATTGCTTTGTTTTTTAATTGTCTCACAATAAAAAAAGCCTAAAGATACCAATTCTATCATTTATTAAAAAAATGCTAAGTGCACTCTTCTGTTACAGCAGCACGTAAAAGAAATGGCTCCATTTGATTTCCAAATTTTCAAAGCGTGTGATATATAGGATATATAGGACTGGCACAAGCCATTTTCATGATGAAACCAGGCACAACCACCACTTTATTCATCAGTAATATTTTGACTGTACATAGAAACATTGTAAAAACTACCTTCAGAGCACATTTGTATCTGGAAGATACTTTGAAAAACCTACAGAACTCTTCACTTTACAGTGTAACAGTTTAAAAAAAACCCGAAATGAAAACAAAAATACCATCAAACCTTATCTAAGAGATGCTTAAGTAAGGTATGCAAACAGTTGTCTTTCCTTTTAAACTCAGTTCTGAACCCAGGCTGCACTACTGAGCAGACAGGATCCCGCAGTCTCTGCTGGCCCCTCTCGTCCTTAACAGGGCTGCTCCCTTATGATTCTTGCCTCTCACTACCATCTCTTGGTCATTTGACTTTTATTTCTCAGAAGAAAGCTAAATTAGTAGTGCCAAACTCCAAAGAACCAAGAATGTTTTTCATAGGACCTTGTCACACATCTTTATCAATTACTCTAGAGAAACACATTCTAATATGTACCTTGAAAGTTTAATTTCCTAAGCTTAAACCTCAACTCACTGGATGTACATTTGCAATGACACACTAAGGCTTTTTCTGTTTGGTAATAGTCAGGAATTATCGCCATTCAAAACCCTTATTTCAAAATCTGGTTTTCCTCACACAAAGTTTTAAAATATGAAGTCTGGGCACTACTCTTGAGTGCTGGTGCTACGGAAGCTCCAGCTGTACTGTGCCCCAAAAGAAACACAGCGAGAGTGCAGCAGCCATTCTGAATTACAACATAACAGAAGTCAACAATACATACTCAGGCCTGTATATTGGCAGCCAGTAAACTAATCTTCCTCCCATCACCAGATATTCTGCCGCAAACTTCAACAGGTCAAAAAAGATGTCACTTAGATGATAATTGGATGAAACGAAGATGTGATTTTCTGTGCTAAACAAAAAATGTACAAGTGTAAACAAACATAAAAGCACGGGTAAAACCTACATTTCTTAAAATAATAACTAAAAAAAAACCCAAAACCAAAAACAGACCACAAAAGCACTATCTGACACTTGCAAAACTAATTGTGACAATCCAGAAATACAACTTCTAATATGAGGAATATGACTTTGCAAGTTCCCATAACTGGCTCTTCAGACTATCATCTTTAGTATTTGAAGTCAAAGTATCACAGGTATACTGGGAATAGTTGTTTCTTAACAACATCTTTCTTAACAATTTAGAGCAAAATGCAGAAGAAAATGAAGGGCAGGTAGTGGAGAAGTCATGACCTATCTCTGAAAAGAGCAGTGGAAATCCAAAAGAAAAGAGGTTGGGGTAAAATATGGGTATTCTATTTTAGACTGATTTTGCGGCCTGCAGAGACTGAAGAGAACTTTCTGAGAATAGGAAATAAAAGGTAATGATGGCTCACAGAGGTGAGAAATAGGATTCAAAATCTGAACACACACAAATGATAAGCAGGGAGAACAAAACCAAGATGATTTCAGGAAGTGACATACAAACAGAGTAAAAAGGGCTTTTCTTCTTTAATTTATATTGCCGCCATTTTTTTAACTGTTGATAGCCGACCAAGAAATAGTAAAGATTCTAAAACTATGACTAGATTTCCATTAAGACATTTATATTCTACAACAGATGAGACAGCTCACCTACCTTCTTTCAACTGACTTAACTGCTTCCTTTTGTGAACCTGTTCTGCGAGTAGCTTCTCTGATACCATATGGTGCTAGACAAAGCAAATGCATAATGCAGAGATGAGAACCTCATTCCTTGTCCAAATAACACACAATTATACCATACATACACGACAGTGCATAAACTGTGGCTTATACAAAGTTAAAAAAAGAAAAGCTTTTACAAAGTAAAACTAAGCAAGGGAAGTTTCTTCAAGATCTATTAAAAGTTTATTACTCCAAAAGGTTACTTTAGAACTGATTCAAAGAAAGCCCTTCAGCTTTCTAAGAGCTTCTAATAGCCTAGAAGTTTGCTACACTACAAAGAACAACGTTTTTCTGTTTTGTTGATTAAAAGATATTCCTCAGACTTGAACCATGTGACAAATAATACCATCCTCTTTTGTTTGCTAGACATGAACATGTCCCCTATAGCACTTAGTTAACCTTTTTCAAAATGAAATTAAATACATTGGAATTTCTTGCCAGTACATTACACAAATGGTAATTCTCACACATGAGAACCAGAGATGGCTTTTTCTCACACATTTTTGCACATTTCTAATAACATAACATATTTATTTCACGTTCAAAACCTCTGGTTTTGTGAGACTTGTTTCAGCATCATGGAAGTACCAATATAACCACCACAGAAGTCTTACAAATTATGTCACACTCAGTTCTGAGTCCATATAAATATTCTACACTGTTTTATTGCCAAATGGAACGAATAAAAACTAGCAAGCAACCCACGAAGAAAAGTCACACTCCCTATTCCTAATTAATATGAATGCCTCATCATAAGAGTCAGCACTAGAGATCAGAAATTGCTGTATCAAGGTCTTTCATTTATTCCCTTAGTTTCTATTCCCTCTCAGACATGACAAATGGTGTTTAGTACACAGGTTGCTAAAAGAGTAAAGGATCCTTCCAAAATGCTAATGCTTCTAGTAGTTAAGTGTATTGGAAACACATTAAAACTTCTCTTTGGAAGCATTACAATAAGCATTTAACATAAATCTTCAGAAGTCCATCAGGGCTGCATGGCAGACTCCAGTGTCCTGCAGATCAAGTTCTAGCAGCAATATGGTACCATTCTGATAAGAAATCTCTGTGCATCAATAAAGTTACACTTTTACTGAATGAGACTTCTTCAAAGGATGATTTCCAGCCATATTGATTTCTGCTGGTGAACATAATATTCTTTCCACGGAAGAAAGAGTTACTGCCAGCTTTGTTACACATTTATAACTACCCTTAAAATAAATGCAGAGATATCAAATGCAGATCCAATTTCCACAGTGCTGCTCTCAATAACCGTATTTGATAAACTGCAGATCTGAGCACTCATCCAGACATTAAATCAACACACATAGGCACAGACACAGGCAATAATCTTTCAGTCACTGCTAGCAGGCAACAAAAAGCAGTAACAAACTTACGGTCTGTAATGATTGCATCGAACAGCATCCCTTTTCGCCATATTGGCCTTGAAGAATCAGCAACCAGTGCATCGAGGTAGTATTTCTCTAAACCATACTGTCGGAGATTAGCTCTGATATTTTCATCTGGCCCTCTCCATTTCTGGTTCTTTCTGCTTGCCTTGCCTGGGAGGGGAGAGGGCCCAGAGTGGGGGGAAAAAAGCACACTCAACAAGAAACTATTATATAAGAAAAGCTTTTCATATACTCTACCATTTAATTTAAAGGAAAATAATTAAAAGTCACTACAAAACCTGTCAAAAGTACTTGCAGTAAACTTCAGAAGTAGTAAGAAATAATGAAAATACACTATAAAAGTTCTGCTGCACCATCTGCATAGGGTGTCCCAGAACACATTTGTAAAAATGTTGTTTTGTTAGACATTCTCTCTGACCCTCAGTCACAATCCTGTCCACTAGGTCAGACACAATTTGCACTACAGATTTTCAGAGAAGTAAGAATAAGATTAAACTTCCTGGGTTAGGTTACAAGAAGCTTCCTACATCACAGGTTAAGACAGCACACAGCTGTGGTAATTATTATTTGGAATTTTGTTTGGGTTTTATTATTCCTTTTTTAAAATATTTCCTGTTTAAAAATAAGATAATATTTTATCTAGGATACATGTAAAATGGTGAATAAAAATAAGCATGACCAAATAAATCCTAATAAGATTAATATTGCTTTAAAATCCACTAAGTATCATCCACTACCATCCTAAATTCCAGAGAGCAAGATTTCAGTGCCTTAGAAATATGTAACATACCTAATCCGTGGATTGTGTTGTAATCTATATCAGTACCACACACATATGCTCCAAAGTGTGCTGAGGAGATTAGAAGGCCACCTACACAGGGGAGAAAAGAGGAAAAATATAAACTCCTGTCATAAATGCTACTTGTGTTGGAATTTTTTCCTCAGGAACTTCAGGATTTTACAGTAGTAGCACACTAGACCCAAAGCTGGACCCAAGCATAAAAAAAAGAAACTAAAAAAAAGAAATAAAACTACCAACCTGCTAGAATCACTATGTAACTATAATCAGAAATAATTACACCAAGTCCCTTGTCTGCTATACCTGATTCTCCTTATCTTACTATGCTTTATGTCACTCCTTATCTTTTGAGACTGCTCTTAGGAGTTTGTTTATGGTTTTCTGTATTTCAAGGCAGTAAGATTCTTTAATCATTACATGAAACAAAACTTTTGATACTACTTTGCAAGGAATAGAATTTCAAATTGTTGGCACACAATTTGAAAAGTCATCACCAAACAAATGGCAGTTCTCCTGTGTCTGTTCTCAAAGTATCTCCTTAACTGTGTCTAAAATCAAACTTGTTGTAAAATGTGGCCATTCCCTGCGTAAGAAACAATGGTCAAGAACCTTGCAAATGTAAATATGTCTATTGTAAACAGGAACATCAAAACAGTTCCTGTAATTGTTATGCCGTGTGAAAATTATATACAAATGCATTTTTCTGTGAGTATGCTGCCTATTTTGTCAGCAGTTTTACCAGTGTACTTATTCTGCAATAAAATCATTTTTTTAATTAATACTATTGCAATCTGCTTTACTAATTTACAAAAAAAAAAACCCTAACAGAAAAGCATGTGTGATTTCCCCTTGAAACTTGATAGTAGTTGAACAGACCACAAAAATGTACAAATGACATTACCTCTTCAACAGCTTCCAAATGAAACAATGGACAGACTGCAGAAGATTACCAAACACCTGTGTGGTCAAGTTATTAATTAGGAGGTATATAGCTAGCAGAATGGTTTAAAACAGAACAGTGACTGAGAACAAGGCTGTGAACCCCACACTGCTGGTGTCAACAGTCCTGCTAAAATAAAGGGGAAGACTGCTGCAGGATGAAGAGTTGACAAGCAGAGGGAACAATGTGCAAGCTGGCTGTGCTGATGACACCAGTTTTCCCATTCACAGGGAGCATAGAGAGAAGCACTTCAGGTGGCTAAACTACCCTGAGCCATCCACTCAGCACGAACACCTCCCTAACATGCCCTGTGTGCATGGGCTGAAGGATCCCATCTCAGAGCACTCCTACACCATATGGTAACTAACTCTACAAAAACCAAATGTGAGGGAGAAAGAAAAGTTTTCAAATTCCTCTGATTTTTCCTGGATCAAGGAAGTGGATCAGGGAAAAGCAAGGCTACTCACCCCAGAGGAGTCACCCATTTCCCTTCTTGGCTGCAATCCCTCAGAAGAGATGGGCAGTACCTCCAGAGGGTCACAACAAATCTAGCTAGCCCTGACCCCAAGTAAGGCATACCACCCAGTCCTACAAAAAAAGTAAGAAGAAAGTACTTTGCCCATCTAAGAATAGTTTTAATCATAAGCAAAAAAAAGTTAGGAAAACATGAACTTAGAGCTTTCAATAAGTCTCAGCTGCTACTAGTTCAGTTGTGTTCACACAGAAGGTGCATGAATACTTAAATACAGTCATAAGGCCAGCTCTTTGATCTACTATATGAAACATGCTAAGAGTGTTATTCAGGGAATCACTGTAACCCCTGATGACTATTAGCAGAATGCCAGTGGCACAGAACTTCATGCCTTTCTATCGTACCCTATTCCCCCATCTCTTCAGCACACACGAGGACTGGTCATAGCACTGTCCCTCAGAATGTCAAAGAAAAAAATTCTTGTCATTTGCAACTACACAGTATCACAAACTGGCAAAGAGAAAGTAAGGACAAATAGCTTCCCATGGTATAATCAACAAGATTACTGAGATAACCTGAACAGACTGTCTAGGAGGAAGTACAAAATATTAAGGTAGAAGACTTGATTTATTCTTCCAGAAAGCTCCAAGCTTCTTTCTGCCCAACACTGAGGAAAGAATATCTAAACATTTATGGAACTTAAAAACAATCCCAGATGTTCCAATTCTGCTCTACAATAAGAAGGGGAATCAAGCCTCCTAAAAGCCAGCCTGGTCAAAGAGCACTTCATATTCCAATGACAAATGCCAATTTGCCACTGTTACACTAACGTGGAAGACTTGTGATTTGGCTTATGCAAAAACCAGTTTCTTTCCAACAAGCAAGCACCATTTTGCAAGGCCATTCTGATTTGGCACTATTTACATTTTTAGTGTAAAAAAACCAGGAAGAAACCAAACCAGGTAATAAAGCTGCATCAATAAAGAAATCTGAAGCACAGTTTCAAAATGCTCATCAAATCCTGTATGTATGTTCTTTCTAAACTGGTCAGCAAACTCATGCAGCTTTAATCTCTAGCCATTATATTACAGATATCCAGGGAAAAAATCCCAAAAAAATGTAATTCAAACCACTAGGCAACTTGTTGAGATTTTTATATACTTGTATTGTATTTGTTACCTTTCAAACTGAAAAATGATTTGACATTTATATAGAATTTCTATAGCTTTGCCATTTCCATGTGATATTTCTTCCTCTGTGTTTACCTTCCTTTTCACTCCCATGAGAATGAATGCTCTCAGAGATTTTGCTTAGCAGATTTTTGTAAGAAGATGCAAAGCCACAGATACCAAAATCAAACGAACTGCTCACAGATAAGAAGAGGAATTTCCTGAACCTTTCAAAGAAGGACAAGCACAAGGATGAAGAGAAAATTTCATAAGACATTATTATGCAGGAAAAAACCCCAGATCATATATGAACAAAAATTTAAGACAGAAACATAAGAGTTCACTGAAGCCTTGTGTTTCTGAAAATATTATATCCCTGGTTTGTTTTCTGTGGTACAGAGAAGATACATGCTATTAAGAATTTATCCTACTGGTGACCCTGTAGTGTTGTCTTCTCTCTCCCTAACTTCTCTGCAGTCATTTCTGCAGAAAACTATCCTCATCCTCCCATTAATGTAACCGTTTTTAATTGTATGCATTTCACACGTGGTCATCTTGATCAAAGTCTAGCAAGTTGGCCAGGAGGGCCAACAGTATCCCGGGGAGGCATCAGGCAAAGCATCGCCAGCTGGTTGAGGGAGGGGATTGTCCTGCTCTGCTCTGCACTGGTGTGGCCTCACCTTGAATATTGTGTGCAGTTTTGGGTGTCACAATATAAGAAAGATATTAAGCCATTAGAGAGCACTCAAAGGAGAGCAACGAAGATGTTGAAGGGCCTTGAGAGGAAGCCGTATGAGGAGCGGCTGAGGGCATTTGGTCTGTTCAGCCTGGAGAAGAGGAGACTGACAGGAGGCCTCATTGCAGTCTGAAACTGCTGTGGATGTGGAGGGGCAGACACCAATCCCTTCTGGTGACCAGTGACAGCACTGGAGGAAATGGTTTGAAGTGAGTCAGAAGAAGTTTAAGTTAGATATCAGGAAAAGGTTCTTCACCGAGGGGGTGGTTGAGCACTGGAACAGGCTCCCCAGGGAAGTGGTCACAGCACCAAGCCTGACAGAGTTCACAAAGTGTTTGGACAATGCTCTCAGGCACATGGTGTGACTCTTGTGGTTGTCCTGTGCAGGTTCAGGAGTTGGACTTTGATGATCCTTGTGGGTCCCTTCCAACCCAGGATGTTCTATGATTCTACTCTATGGTTCTAAAATCCAGGTCAAAAACACAGCCTACGTTACGTTTTTGAAGAAACTACTATAGGCAGCTTAATACAATATACTCTGCTACGATTATATGGCACAACCTGACACAACAGATCAGCTATTTCACCTACACAACAGCTCAGTTTCCCTGAGTCAAAATGTACTTTTATGTCATATGTGGAATAAAAGCTCCCCCTCCTGGATAAACTAGGAAAAGTTCAGCTGGGGCGGATACATGGTGTGAGCAGTATTATCCTGAAGACAGGATGTGAAGGCACAACAAACTGATCTCTACTGAATGCTACGACCTAACTATTGTTATGTTGTGTTAAAAGCCTACAACATGTGCCCTCAGCACTCTAAATAGCCAGCTCTAAAATGCTACTCCTTGTAACCTCCTGAAAGTGACTGCAGGAAGTGCATTAGCCAAATATCACTTCTTGGTCACTTTGGATCTTAGGCAGTCCATAACAAATACGAAGTAGCGTTTAACCCATGGTGCATAAAATAAAACCATGAAGACAGATTTTTTAGAAGCGTGAAATAAACTGTTTATAGCTTTGGAAGTTGGTCTCCTTCCCCCAAAATCCCTTTCAAGTTTACAGACTACTCATTTTACAATCACCATTTTGCCTTTGGTATCCTCTCAAATATCAGCTGAGCACCAGAAGTCACTGCACCAGGTAAAACCTGGTGTAAACAGTAAGAAAACCTTCCAGTTTTTCCAACCAGTGGAAAAAAAAATATATATACCTGTTCCAACAAATGGATCATATACAACATCATTGGGTTTTACTCTCCCATGGTTGGCCATAATGAAAGACAGGCAGGCATCCATGCTTGTATTTCCAATGAAGTGTCTCTTCTTTACACTGTAGGATTCAATGAGTTCTCTTTGGCCATCTGCAATCTGTTGAAACATTTAAAATCCCTGTCAGGTCTTAAATACAAGATATAAGCAGGCAGGCTAACACGCACTTAAGTGACACCATCCAAAACCAGGTAACTTCATTTCATAACACATCATCTTGCTTTCTGACGTCTGAAAATATGACAGACTTCTTTCCAAGCAACAGATATCTTGGTTCAACACCTAGATAAATTCTTCAAGACAGAGGTTAAAAATATACAAACATTTTAGACAGAAAATTCTTCTGAAGAAATAACAATTATAGCAACTTCGCTATTATTCTGAGTATCAGAAAAACAATTCCTGGCAATTCAGAGTTAAAAGAATTTCAAAATTAAGAGGAGGAGAAATGCATGTTAACACATGCATTGCACATACACACACGTATGCTTAAGGTCATACAGAACTTCCTTCTTCACTGGCACTTCTGCCATGCTCAAAATCTAAATTTAGGATAGCACTGACAGATCAGAATTTAATGGAAAAGCAAACAAAGACCAAATGCTATTATTTTTACATCAGACTTCTAAAATATGTTGAAGAAGACCAACGCAATCTGCAAGAAGACATGGTCAAAAGCTCTTCCAACACTATCCCCCCATCTCTGGTCAACATCAGTCTTACTGGGTAAACAAAATACATTTGGCTATTTTTTTCAGGTTAGTTTACTCAATGCTTCAGAAATCCAGCACAGATGGGCCAACAGCTGCAATGTTTTACAGTATTGTCACAACCCAGAGTGCTTACAAATTAATCACATGCAGAGAGAACACCCACAGGTCCTAACAGATCACTTGGATGTCTGACTTCCCTGTATACAAGCCACTGACTATAGCTGTACAGCCTCTGCAGCGGTTCTCCCTCCTTCCAGCTGCCCTTTACCCAGGACACTGCTAGCACATATTCCCATCAGTGGCTAGTGTCATCCTGGAAGAGCCACATTTTCCTCACAAAAATATAAAGACCAGATCAAATTTCCTCAGGATATCCTAATAATGCGGCGGCTTTAGAGTGCATACGGCCGACAGGCAAGAAGGTTTGTAGTGAAGACCTCAGCTGACAGGCTCCAGATAGTTTTTATAACTGGTTCCTGCTGTAGGCTCTGCACTGCCAGTGTCTCCTCGGGCCTTTGTGCTGAACCTGCTGATGTCCAAAGCCTCAGGGATCAGTCTGCACCTTTCTGTGGAGGTTCCCGTCAGGACATCTTGAAGCACTTACAGAATGCTCTAGTGGGCCTGACACAACTCAGCAGGGCCACAAGCCACCTATAGCTCTGTATATCTTTCTACATGTCTGAAACACACTGCTGGTGCATTCAGCTGCAGTTAGTCCCATAATAACATAATACACCACCACAGCTGCGCAGTCTCACAGCTGTGCTGAGTTCTCTCAGTGGAGGGCAAGAAGGTGTGTTTCCAGATACAACTTCATTTTTTCCACCTCCAAATTGCTCAATAAACCCACTTTTTCCTAGTCACAGTCAAGTTTCCCAGACTTGTAGTGACAGATTCAGACATAATTATATTGTCTGCTTCCATTGAAAGTCAATACAATTTTTTACATTTCAATTGAAGAACACTCTCCTGAAAATACAAGCTCATAAGAACTGAAGCAAGCATATTCACGCACCCATCTACCAAAATACAGATGAAAGGGCTCTTCTGGAACATTATTTGGGTTCATTCCATAATCTTCCAAAATCCAGAAGATGTGTTCTGGATTCTTTAAATTTACTTTTCCTTTGAATGGCAGAAACTCAAGGGCCTATACAATAAAGAAAAAATAAGAGTAAAAAAAAAGTCAAACCAGGGTCAATTTTTTAAATAGGCACCTCCCCTCCAATAGAAAAAAAAACAAAACAAACTCTTGCCCCCAAAAAACCTCACCACAATTTTACTAGGAGAAATTATAGATAAGTATTAAAAAGTACATTCTCAATTTTATCTAGATTTTTGAAATACCTTTCTTGTAAATAAAAATACCTCAAATGATTAAGAATTAGAATTCAGGAACCATAACACTTTTTATTAACTGAAGAGAACCCAACTTTAGAGGAAATGAATGGTGCATATTATTTATGCAATTTTCAAGTTATAAAAACAACACTGATGATAAACAATAGGATATAAAATTTCAGTGATGTGCAGCTACACCAATTTACATACTCAGCATTATTTCATGTACAAAAAAACTGAACAAACAGGAAAGAGTGGCTACTACTAATACAGATAATTTCAGCCTCTGTAAATGGTGTAAATAAAAGAAAAAGCTGATAAAATAGAATGTGGAAGAACAAAAAATCAACAGTAATTTAGAAAAATTTCCTAATTATAATACTGATACAGTTAGGAGGAGAGCACAAGTGCAGAAAAGAGCATAACGACAGAACAGGAGATTAGCACACAATCCACTGCTTGCAACTGAAGTCACTTGTTCCACATTCTGCAACAATAAAAGCCTAATGCGCAGATCAAGCAACAGATTTTCCAGAAGTCTAGCACCTAACTCTAGCCACTTGAATCTTAGTGTTTTGGGCAATAAGCTTCAGTTTCCCCAGCACACTGGGCCAAAATCAGCGGTGATGTTTATTTGGCTTTGTATGTGCCTCACATGGGCTGTTTAGGGAAACAAAAAAAAAAAGTAGTAAATTTTGAAGGAATTTTAATTCAGACGCAAAGATCTCATTTAGACCTGATAAGACATAAGCAACAAACTTCTTTCAGATCTTCAGGAAACCCAAACTTAAAAACTCTGATAGCATGGAATAAGAACAACATAAATGATTCAACATCAAAGATTTCTTAACCACCTACTTACATCGATCTTTTTTATTTTCTGTGCTTGAGTCAGTGTTTTATTAAACGTATGAATATGTACTTTGTAAGTAGAGTCTGACTGTAGATACGGAAGCTGAAAAAAAAAGGCAAAGACCATTTCATTAGTACAGATGCAGTGCTATTCAGTACATAGAGGAACCATATTATCCAGATTCTTTATATGCATACCATCTTGTCCACTGGATAGTTCTTCAGAGAGGCATAGAGCTCGCCCTCAGATCTTCCATGACCCCACAGTTCAAATATAGACCTGGAATTACACAGTTTTTGAGAGTGCAGTCACATGGAGGGGGCAAAATGCCTTACAGACACTTATTCCTTTTAACCTTCTCGGCCAATTTATTTAGGCTTTACTTCATGGAGTACTAAAGTGGGGTATTTAACTTTTAGCAAATGTTTTATTTTTTGTTCTAATTTTTAATCCTAAGATGACATTTTAACAATGCCTTTTTTTTTTTATTTGGTAACATATACCAAAACCTTTAGATCTTTTGTTACTGATTAGCAGTGCAATGAAGATGCACGGGAAATTTTCTTCTAAAACTAACATGTCTTCCCACAATGAGCAGTAGGCCAGAAAAATAAGCTGTGGGCTAGCTACACTTTCTACATAAAATAAGGATACATTAGCTGAGAGATCATGGTATACAGAACATCTACAAGCTGCTTTGTCGTATTTTACTTCATTGGTTGCCTACAGCTGCTTTCTGAAGTGCAGTACAGTTGATCTCCACTGGAAACATACTGTAATAAGGACAGTTTTGTACACATGGGACTCCTTTAGGCAAGACTGGACAGCCCTAGTCACTGGAGGTAAAACAGAATAACTGACACAATAAGCACTCAACAGGGGCTACGCAACGCTCTGCAGAGGGGTCCAAACTAACTCTGAAGAACACAGCACAGACACCACAAATTTAGTATGGTCAGAGAGACATACCACACTTACACTGGCTCTCATCCTGAACCATACCTGCACAGCCTCTCTCACAAGCCTCACTGCAAAGAATATTATTCAGACACCTCTAAAAAGGACCAGCTGGAACAATCACTCTCTGGCATACTCTTGTGCTCTTGAATTTTCTAAAAGGACCTCTGCTGCAGCAGATTGGGTTGAGGGCTCAGATGCCAGCACTAAGAGAGAGTAACACAACCTTTCCCTTCAAAACTTGATTTTCAATTTTTACTTATCATTGTTTTTATCTTTTAGTTCCAGACGTGGTTTAAAACAACTCACTAACTAAACTTTATTCGTGGTCAATAAAACATCAGTGAGTACTGTCTCTGGAGTGAAGAACACTATCCTGACTTTATCATACACCAAGTAAAGAGAACTCTACATAATCAGTCCTACAGGAGTCCTACAAACTCCGGTTACATCTTCTCAATTCTAGAAGGAATCAAAGACTGTTTATTTGAAGACTCCATAAAAAAATCTGTATTTGCCACAACATAAGAAAACAATATTCCACCGCTTCAGTTATTGTTTACAAGATTTTCCATCTCTTACTTTGCACATACTGTCCGTTTCATTAGTCCCCTTGCCATCTCTTCTGAAGGAATATTGAGAATCCAAAATGGAGACTGAAATAAAGAGAAGATAAGTCATACAAATACCTAGTTGGAGAATGTCAGATGAATTACACAACTACACAATTCTGTTCTATAAAAACAGAACGTGCATGCTGAAAATAAATAAAAAAAAATAAATCTGTTGACTGTAATCATACAGAGGATAAATATTTAATTTCAGGCAAAACTGTTTACTTGGCTTGAATGTCTGACAAATTTTGTTATGTATTTCATTTTTCCACTGTATCTTTGACTTAGCAAAATATTATTTGTTTGCACTTCTGTACATTATTCAGCCCCTAAAGATGGAAAACATCTCGTTACACACAAGTAGTAACTTATTCCCAGTAACATCCTCTGACTAGGCATTGAGACCAAAATCATACAGTTTCCTAGCCGTATTCTGTCTCACTGATTTAGATGCAAACACCAAATCCAAAGTCCTGCTGAATGTTTTCACAGTTCGCCTATTTTGAGAAGAAAGGAGAGCCTCCCAGCAGATGGCACTACTTCTTTTCACAGTCTTAAATGAAGACAGCCTGAGGTGCATTTTGTGCATCTTTTTTTTTAAGTTCTGAGTCTTTACTGAAATTGAGAGTTCCTTGTTTTTGGAAGATTTTTTTTTTTCTAAGAAACTTCAAAATTTATTCAGCTACCCACATTTAACAAAAATACTATAAAGAACGTACTTGCATCCCATACACACACTCAAGCAAAATATTTGGTCCTCACTTACATTTACACGAATTTCCTGCTCACCACTGAATTTTCCACCACAAAGGGAGAGCAATGATGTTATTTCCTAAATTGAAAATATAAAGGTCAGGCCTTAGAATCATTAACGAATGTTTTGAAGAAAGAAAGGGGGGAAACAAGGAAAAAAGGGCAGCATAACACAAATTCTAACGCAGACGGTGAGGATTATGAAGAAAATTCTAGAGACAGCAAGAGAAGACAGAATGGCATGAACTACCAAATTCACTGTGGGAACCAACAGTGAAACACTCAGAGTAGTTGTGTGGATAGGACAGAAGTTCACACATAAATTCAGCTTGTAGGTACTGTTCATGAACAGAAAAAAAATTAAGACTTTCCTGCTGTAAAAGCAGCTTTCTCAGAGTTCAGTGGCAAAGGAATGGGCTCTGTTAGGCAAATTTCAGTAATAAAATTCCCCTGCTTCATATTTTCTCTTTCATCTAAATCTTTACTGTTCAACCCTGCACTCTCATAACGATATTCCTCTTACAATATTATTCTCTCTATTCTTAAAATATTTTTCTGCCTAATTCCCATAAAAATGATGTTTCACTAGTAACACTGACCCAGGGCCAGGACAAGCACCGAGCATCAATTCCATTTCTGTTACCCCTCTGCTTTACAAGTAACTCAACACTTTTCTTCAGTAGATGTCTTATCTAAATCAAAAGACTGTAAATTGAACATATGAAAGAACAAACCACCAAGAAACAAGCTAATAAGTAATACCTGAAAAAAAGAAAAACCAATGCACTAAAAAGACTTTCAAACTCAAATGAGATGTAAACACCAGGGATGTTTCTCATGTAGCCCCAATACTAGAAATTACATGCTGCAATCTCTGAATGATACTGGCAAAAGAACACGGAGGCAAAATTTTATACTGGCTTAGATTTCAACTGAGTGGGTAAATGAAAAGATTACCATTAATTATCACCAAAAAATGGAGAAAAGGAAAACCCAACATGACACTAGCATATGGTTTTAGTGGGACACGACCCCACTCATTTCCATCTTTCCATTTGAATAGAAAGGACATAAGAAACATTGGAAAAAACAGGGGGTTTGCTCCAGGAGAATATAAGATTATGTGTAACCACTTCACTGTACAGTCCTGAGGCAGAAAAAGCACCTGAGGTGTTACACATGAATCGGTGGCACCTCCAAACACCAGTAATATTACCTACAGGAAAGTGACAAAAATGAGAAGCAGAAAAAACACGGCCTGCAAGGAAAGGCTGGGAGAGACTAGCTACATATGCTAAAGGTTGCTGTGATAAAGAAAGATAATAATCTGTTTTCAACATTTATTATGGAGGAGATGACTGAATGAGGTTCAAACCACAGCAGTACTCTGGATGAGAATTTGGGAAGATCCTTCCAAGAGCAAAGACAATGAAGCACTGGAACATATCTGCCTGAGGACATTGATAAGAAAACATCCGACATGCACTGATCTGTCCATTAGACACAAGCTTTGCTGTAACACAGGATGCCTGATCTTACCCCTAAGTATCTGACCTAGCAAAAAACAGATCCCTGATTATGGAGCACAGTTTATCAACTAAGAAATATGAAACATGTAACTTCAGACACTGAATAACAAATGTAGAGTCTGACAAACACCTTCAGCTGCTGTGATCCAGCATTACCGGCAGTACAGAAGGAGTCCTGTCATATCCCATATTCAGATGTGGTAGAGATGGAGATCAAGCAGATCATCTGGCTAAAAAATCTGTCCTTCCTTGTTTCATTAAGTCCTTAACACAGCTCATGACAAAGCCAAACACACAGCTGAGCAGAGTACAAGAAAAGGGAAATGGAACTGCTTCCTTCAGCAGCTATATCAACCAAGTGCCACTACAACTCTGGTGATAAAACAAAAACTTTGTTACATATCATCTTTTTACTTCACCTGATGACCTTGCCTAAAGACAAACTGGGTTGATCATAAATAAATAAATTCATGTTCCAGTCTCTCAAAGTAAATAGTAAAAATCAATGCACAAAAGAAAACCTTAATGAAAACAAGGAAAACAAATGATGTAAGACACATTAAATATTTTATAACACATTTAATGATGAGCCACCAATTCTAACAAAATAACTCCGCATTTCGGCACTATTTTAAACAATAACATACTATCCTGGATATTACTAGCTCTTTCTACATGGTGCCTAGAAGAGCCCTTTGGGTATCAAAATTTGTTAAGGTGTATAGCAGCTCCATAAATTAACATGGGAGAAAAAAACAATCACAAGTTAAATTTACAAACAAGAGGATTTTCTTACTAATGTGGAAACTGAGTGTATGCTAAACTACACATTCACCAAGGGCCCATAAAAAACACTGGGGATTCATAAAAAAGACAAAGGATCTTCAAATAAGTTACAATTTATTTTTGTTTCAATCATTTCTGTGAACACTACTTGATAAGGTAAAACAGATTTAGCGACAGGGAACAAACTCTGCACCCCAGATTTTGCAACCAACCATCACACACGTGTCAATGACAAGCAGAGTGCAGCACTCCAGGCATCACTTGCTCTGATCCCACCACAGAAGCTGCTCTACTCTGCCTAATCCCACACAGGCCAGTGGGGCACAAACCCTTCTGACTGTATGGAAGCAAACACTCAGGATCACAACTCAAAAGCGAACAGTCCTCAGTGCCACTGGTGCCAGCAAGGTTCACAACCAGGACGCCAGCCGAGGCCTTGGAGACCTGTGCTCATGTGCTCCCGGCTCATGTCATACGCCCTAGGGCTTCAGAGAGCACCATGCTCGCTGCCCCCCATATCTTCCTCCTGAAAATGCAACTCCTGCAACTCTCCTGCCTCACAAAGCTCCATAAACACCTGGGACAGGGAATCACAGAATCAATCAGGTTGGGAAAGACCTCTGAGATCACGGAAACCAACCTATGCCTGAACACCACCATGTCAACTAGACCATGGCACAACGTGCCGCATCCAGTCTTTTCCTTAAACACCTCCAGGGACGGTGACTCCACCACTTCCCCCGGCAGTCCATCGGACACTGGAATGAGAGCTGACCCCACACGTCTCCCAGGGCTGCACCAACCTTTTCCGTACCCACACCACCATGGCAGCAATATAGTTTAAACAAATTTTAAAAGTCATCAGAGCAAGACCTTGTGAAAGCATTCTTGCAACCCCATTTCCCCCCCCCCCCACCTTCCCCTTCTCACGTGGAGCCCCACGTACTCTGCTGGCAACCTCTCCTAGCGCCAAAAGCAAGGAAAAAAGCCACCACGCAGACGCTCTCCATGGGGCAGGAAGGGAGGAGAGGCAGCCCCACGCTTGGGGGTCCCTTGCCACGGGACGCGGGGAGCGGCGAGCGAAGGGGGACCGAGAGCCCTTCGTCCCCGGTTTTCCCCGAGCCGGGGCGGGAGAGGCCCCGCCGGGGTCCGGCCGCCCGCGGGCACACCCGGGACCGCGCTGTCCGGGAGCGCTCCGGCTCCTGGCCCTGGCCCTGGCCCCGGTCCCGGTCCCGGCCCGCTGCAGCGCTCACCGGCAGGCGGAACTCGAGGTGCTCCTGCGCCAGCAGCAGCAAGTACCGCCGGAGCGCCGGAGCCGCCAGCTCCATGTCCGCCCATCCCCCGCCCCCCGCATGCGCCGCCAGGAGCGGGCGGGCTCCGCGCCGTGGGGCGGGAGAGGCGGGATCAGCCCGGCCGGGGGCGTGTGACAGGGATACCCCACGGACCGAGCGAGGCGGGCGGACCGGGTGCTGCGCGCACTCTGCGTTAACTACTGTTCATTTCGTCTCCCTCTCATCCTTCTTGTAATTTGTATTTTGTGTGTGCTTTATCATGCGGGCCACGTGTCAGGACAGCAGAGCCTGCGTATGGTTTATAAATAACTACACGTATCCTGGGGACACACGCTGGCTCAGAGGTGTTAGCACTGGTAGGGCAGCGCTGCGGCCTCTCCTGGCCACATTTAAGGATCTGGAGCATTAAATAACATTAAGAATTAACAGATGCCAGAGGAGTCGCATTCGTTTTTCCGTGGGAAGGAGGTCAGCACCGGCGACGTGGGTGTCGGACCACATAGAGAAGCAGATTCCCAGGAGAAGGACAGAGGTGTGACGATCCAACGGGGGGAAGGGGGGGGAGGGAAAGGGATTTGTCTTGCAGATTATATTTTTTTTTTAATATCTAGGCTTGATAACTATAATCTTGTACTCACTGATCTCCCTGTTATGTTGAGTTGAGAGATTCGGCTTATCCAGATTTCGGTAAGCTTTTCATTAGAATCAGGCCAGCTCAGCACTGAACTCATGTTCCGTATTTTATGTGCTAATTTTTGGACAGCTTTTTTTCTAGATGGCTAAGATTTTGCTCATGACCAGTGTGCACTCCACAGGCCACCTTCCTTATGCATCCCCATAATCCCATCCTGCAGCTTCTCCAGTTATCCCTTCCTGCAGTAATCAAAACTGAGGTTTACTGTGAAGTTTTAGCCTTGATGATTGACAGGAAAACAATCTAAAGTGACCTGGCAGCTAAACGTGAACTTTCCTAGAAGAGAAAGAAAAGAGGTAGATGTGAATCAGGCTTGTTCACCTGAGCAGTTGAATGCTGGCACCCAGCAATAAACACATTGCTGAACTGCTGACAAACCCCGAGAGCCTGAGATTGCTTACAGAATCTTGGGATTGCTGAGAGAGATTTATTGAAAGAAGCCTGCTTTTATTTTTACATTCTGTCTCACTTTAAATTTCTTAGCTGTATGGCTTCCATTTTTGAAACTCCTTAGGAGGTGTTATTGGTATTATTTTTAAGCTTAATCTCTTTGAGACTGGCTTTTGCTTACTTTATCTGCACTGCTTTATCTTCATAGCATTGCTGTCTGTTCTCACGAGATGAATACCTCAGTTTTCCAGTGATACTGCTTCTGCAGAAGAATTTAACTAAAGCCCTGGTTTTTTCTTGCTTTAGACTTGAGGATCCATGCAAAATCTCTGGTAGTCTATATATGTTGCTCAGCATAGTTTGAAAGTGAATGTACATTACTAAGACTTACAGAGTATTTGATTCTGACATAAAAACAAAATGCTTTTCAGATGCCGTATTTGTAAACTGAACATACATTCCTGTAATGTCATTGAGGAGAATCAAACAGTTTGTTAGTGTGGATTTGGGAAGGCATCCTAAATAAGCAACATTATGTAACTATTTTAGGGAGGGAAAGAAAGAAAAATTGTCCTTTTTAGCCTTTTAGCCTTAAAATTTTTAAGTACACAAAATGTAATTACTTATCTTGAAATTTATCCAGGAAGCTAGAATTAACCACCTTCCTCTCACAAAAAATATAACAATAGGATCATATGCCAATCATGAGTTTCAGTTTAAAAGTGAGAGAGCATGATTGAAAAGCCACTGTTTAATGTGTGCTGTTGCTTATTATTCTCAGGTCTCTTTTGTAGCAATTGTGTTGCCATTTTCTGCTCACTTCATGCCCTCTTCTGGACCCAAAGGCAACACAAGTGTTTTTTGACTGACTTGCACATTCTGCTGGGGCATTCAGGGAGCTCTGTCACTGCTCGTGGGTTCGTGTGCAACAGCACCAACATGGTGCAATTTGGGCCAAGTTGCCTGGTATGGGCAAATATCCATGAAATTCTACCTTAAAAACTTAAAAAGATTGTTTTGAGTTATAGAAATACCTGTTCTATAATTCAGTTGTTAAACTGTTCAGAATTTGCATTTCTGTCCATTTCCCCATAGAAAAACTAGCACTAATCCTCGGGTTTGTCTTCAAATGTCAGTAAAAGTATCAGCTCTACTAATGTGCTATATGGAAACTCTAGTTTGCATATTTCAACAGGTGAAAAATACGACCCAGCAAAGACATGGTTATAACACATTCAGATCTCTGTAGGTATGCAAAAGTCTGTGCCTAATTCATCAAAATAATCCTGTACTTCACAGATAGCCCGTAATCTAAGTACATGTAATGTCATAGGGGGTGGGCAGCCCGTGTACCCGGAGCGGTAAGGCAGTTTCCCCTCTGGAGCGCAAGCTCCCTTGCCTTGGAGCCTGCCTGTGGCTTGTAGCTGGCAGACATGGCTGTGCAGCACAGCCTTTTAAGGGAGAACTATCTATTCGGGTTTTGTCTTCTTCACTAAATAGGGTGTTGCAGACAGTGACACGCTCACTAACTGGGATTTCCACTCCTCTTTGCAGTGCCTGATGAGGAAAATCCTCCTGCTCTCACCATGTACTGCCATTTCAGCTCCAGATAATATTTTCTGTGCATAATAACTTTCACAGTCTGTGGGAACCTTGTCAGCACAGCGTGAATTTGTCCACCTTTAATCAGCGCGCAGGCAGGAGAAAGGCTTTCCACCCCTCTCCATGGGTTGGTGTGCTGCCTCTCCGGGAATGGTTTGCTCTCTTCCCGGGTCAGCCAGCACTGCATCAGGTTGTTTGGGAAGTCAGCGGGGCTGCCGGGTACTAGGATAAAGTTCTTTAAAAGGCATCATTGCAGGAAAAGTAAGTACTGCACTATGTTTGTGTTGCACAGAGGCTGTGGGACCAGTTGTACACTGGGTAACCTTTTAAGAATTACTTACTGTGTTCCAACGTTGCTTCTGAATTTCAGCTGAATCACTTTTACTTTCTTCATTGCTGTAGAATTATGGGTGGACTTAAAAAGTCTTCAGATGTTTATTGTCTTTTTCAGCAGCCTTTCCTCTCACTTGAACAAAACTCCTCCAAAAATTATCGAGCTGATTTGTTGTTTATCTTTTACAGCTGACAGTGCACCCAAGAACCGCAGTTACAACCAGTCATTGATTTGTTTCCTGCTTGAGTACCATAAAACGTTTTTCAAGAAATGGAAGGAGATAAAGGGCAGAGTGCTAAAGCTACCAGTGCAGTGGGTGACCTGAGGAGAAGCTGGCAGACCTGGGCAGAGGATCACATTGAGTATCAGAAAAAGAACCCGTTCAGCAGTGACGACAGGCTTGCATCTAAACCTGCGCACACTCACCGAGGAGATCCTACCTATGGGAGACCCCCTGAAGGGTCTCGGACAGAGCAGAGAGGGAAAGATGCTCACTCACACGTGGGCAAGGAAGTACAAGAGCTGTGCTTGATCATTAGAAGCACTGGACAGGTGGGAGAAGATGGACACGTGAGTGTGACATTCGGGCAGCTGTTTGAAACATATGTGACTATTTCCAACAAAGTAGTAGGAATCTTGTTAAGAGCCAGAAAACATGGTCTGGTTCATTTTGAAGGTGAAATGCTTTGGCAAGGAAAAGATGATGATGTGGTCATCACTTTACTACAATAAGGCTTTGTCATGGAATGAATTTTGCTGCATGGTTCCATTTGGACAAACATACCTAGATACCACATTGAAAGGTTTTCATTGCAGAATTTCAACTCAGCTACCTACTGGGACATGAACAGGAGAGAAAACTGGTGAGAAGGATAAAGCATATTATTGTAAAAATGTAGAGATTTGGACAGAAATCACAAATGATGAGCTGATCCATCATGCTGCCATTGGATTGTCCTTATCATCTACTATTATGTATATCACAGTTCTTCAAATGACTCTGCTGGCTGACTGCTTTTAGGTTACTGAAAGGATAAATAACTAACTTCCTACCATACAACACTGATCCTTGCAGGTTGTGAAACACTTGCTGCATGGGGGATTGAGATTTGTAAAATGTGGAATTGAAAACTTTTGTGGGCATTCATATACTTCTTCAGACAAAGAGCTTGGATATATTTAGGTTTAATTTCATACTGTTAAACTGAATAAATGGAAGCTATTTTCATGAAGGAGAAAAAAATTCCCTTAAAACTTAGTAAAATACCACAGCAAGGATATTTGATGGTTCCTAAATTAGTTGCACCTTGCATGTATTTTGGAGAGCTGCACTAGTCCTGGTATTTAATAGCCTATTCTTATAATCATATTTTCTCCAAACCTTCTGTGTCCTGTGTTCTTTTTCTTCTGTATCTCACACCATTTTTACCTCTTCTGTTCTTCCAGTGTTGTGTCATACCCTTAGAAGGTCACAAAGCTCTGTAGTTTTTTTGGTGAATTCAGCTATGCCCCTTCATAGGAAGTAAGGTGCCACAACATAAAGATGTGAAAGACAACAGAAATTCTGTACTGGGGCACCTGTACATTCATAAGAAAAAAAAAAAGGCTCTTCTTTAACAAAAATGAGGCAATGTTTTTTATGAGAGGAGAGATCCTGTATGTAGTGCCAAATGCATAAATAAAAATATAGCAGTGCTGTCCCATACCTCGTTTACCAGAGGCAAAGCTGTGCTTTCAGAGCAGAGTTGTGAGCTCTCCAAACTTTTTAAAAGAAAAAATAAAGGATTGATTATATAAAATAGTTGTAATAGTGCTATTAAAAATAATCAGGAGCTGTATTTACAATAGTTCCCATCAGTAAAGCTGTAAAATTAGAAATCTAAAGTTCTGGTTTTTATCAGTGCAAATAAAAGCTTTTGTGTGGTGTTAACTACACTACTTGATGGGTCTTTAAAGATACTCTCTTGCATCAAAAGGATATTAAAATTTAATATAAATTAAGAACTTGATAAAAGTGATGTTACTTTATGCTACT